GGGCAAAATCTAGCATCAAAAATATTAAAAGATATTAATAAATCGGAACAGGACCTAGCTAGAGCAGTTAGCAATGTCAGAGGTTCAGCAGGTTCTTTTTTTATGACACCAACAGATACTTATGAAGTCAGGACAATAATAGGGCAACTAAACCTTAATAGTGCTCCTGGTTTGGATAATATAAGCACTAAGATGCTAAAAAGAGCATGCAATTTTATAATTGAACCCCTGACACATATAATAAATTTGAGTCTGTCCTCGGGGCAATTTCCAGAATGTTGGAAATCTGCTGCTATAATACCTATATACAAGGATGGCCTGCAAACTGATCCGTCAAACTATCGCCCAATTTCTCTCCTAAGTGTGTTCTCCAAAATTCTAGAAAGGGTGGTAAATTTACGCTTAACAAAATTTTTAGAATCTCAAAACGTTATAAGTCATAACCAGTTTGGTTTTCGTAAAGGAAGATCTACTGAAGAAGCAGCTAATTTCCTTATAAAAACTGTAACTGACGCTATTGATCATAGACAGAAATCTCTTGGAATATTTCTCGATCTTTCCAAGGCATTTGATACTGTTTCTCACTATATTCTACTACGGAAGCTCGAAGTTATTGGAATACGAGGCGTGACTCTTAGATGGTTTTCTAGTTATCTTGAAAGGAGAAACCAAATCGTAGTCGTAGATGAACATAAAAGTAATACATCATATATTTCTTTTGGAATTCCACAAGGAAGTATCCTCGGGCCTACACTGTTTTCTATTTACATGAATGACCTCTGCCATCTATTTGATGATGACAACAACGTCCAAGTAATCTGTTATGCTGATGACACTGCAATAATTTGCACACAAGAAAATTGGTTTTCTGTTTTTTCTGCAGCTAACTCGGCCATGAAGATTGTATCAAATTGGTTGGGAGCAAACCTACTTACTTTAAACACTGCAAAATCTAAATATGTTTGTTTTCACAACACCAAAGCTTCTAGTCCCCCAACGTCATTATCCTTGATTATCCATAAGTATTCATGTGATAATAACAAAATCTGCAGTTGTGATTTCCTTGATAGGGTTCATGAAGTGAAATATTTGGGATTAATCTTGGATCAAAAGTTGACTTTTGCTTCTCATATACAAGTGCTTTCTAAACGTATACGTAAACTTATACACGTTATGAAGCTTCTGCGTAACGGCGCGAGCAAGAATGTTTTATTACTTGTATACAAAAGCATAGCTCAATCACTGTTGATGTACTGCATCACAGTGTGGGGCGGTGCATCAAAATCATATATGATTGCACTTGAAAGGGCACAAAGATCTGTCTTAAAAGTAATGTTTAGGAAACCAATTCGTTTTCCCACCTATCTTTTGTATCAGGAGGCTGCTGTTCTGACAGTGCGTCAACTTTATATACTTAAAGTAGTAATGATGCACCACAAATCTCCTCTCCTCCCGCAAAAACCTTCGGACCAGAGAAGGCGCAAAATAATCATCCCTCGCATTAATACTGCATTTGCAAAGCGCTTTAGTTATTATTCGTGCCCATTTATATATAAAAAACTTAATAATCTCTGCAAACTGGATGGTCTTAACAATGCGGAAGCTAAACATAGGATACAAGGATATTTACAAAATCTTGATTACGATGCCACAGAATTAATATTATATACCATTTATTGATATTCGTATATAGTAGTGTATGTCTTTAGTATATTTAATTGTATGTATTTATTTATGTAATATTAGAGTATTTATATAATTTTCTGTTTTATGCGCATGTCTTCATGAAGCACTTCATTTTAACTTGTTGCTTTCGTAAAACTGGCTTAGTATTTTAATTTAATTTATATTTGTAAACCACCGTGTCTTGGTAATCTCATATGGACTCCCGCGATACAGGTTCTCCTAGTGCGGGGTCCAATGTACTCGCTGTTGTAATTTTTTTTTTTTTTTTTTTTTTTTTTTTTTTTTTTGTATTTAATAATAAATAAATAAAACACGTACAAAGTTATTCGATTTGAATAAAAAAAGTAAAAATGTTCCTTTATCATTTCAAATATACAAAGTCAAAATTAAAGTAAATTACATTCGAAACTGATAAACGAAGTTTTGAAATTTCGAACATCACATAAATCGGAATTATATTTTCAAATTTACATTACGATTTCATATTGTATAAAATAAGACCTCTAAAAAGAGGTTTACCAACGGGCATGATAAATTGACACACATATTGGCCATATCAAAATGGCGCTTCCAGCGGTGTCATATTCCTTCGATAGCGGATAGTGGCGCGCACATGGCCAACGCATGTGTGTTGCATATTGTTACGCGATATTTAAAAACTATTCCATGGTGTATTTTTTATTCATCCCGTTCTGGGTATTTGACCTTTTATTTGTTAAAACAAATATTATGCTCTATGCTTGTTTGTATTAAGTTTTTGCCCTTTTAGTTTCTTTTTTTTTTATTTAACGGGTGAAAATGGAATTGTAATTATGTAAGCGCGCCTTTGATTTACGCCGCCTGTTAAGGTCAGTAACTCGATTATAGGCGAGCGATTTTCTATCTCAGGTTGACTTTCACTTGGTCCTTCATAGAATTTATACTGGTTAATTTATGGCGAAATTATCACGATGGGTTAATTGATCTATTTTAATCCTTACTCATTGTACATAACTGGTATTCTGCTAGTGGAAACCGACAACGCAAGGATTAAACTGTTTTCAGTTATTAAAAAAAAGCAAAGTCCAGAAGCAATCGCTTGGAGGTCAACCTCACAGGACATATTGCTAGTCACAAAGCAACCTATCCCATTACTAATAACGGATAAATGAAAAAGACACAAATTATAATATTTATACAATTTTAAAAGCCTATTTTGGAAAGAAGTATTAAATCTACTATGGCTTTCAGTGGTGACCGCGTGGAGGTCGTCCTCATAGAATACATTGCTAATCACAAGGTAGCCTATCTCCATTAATAACAGTCGAATGCAAAAGTCAAGATATTTTAAAAAGAAGTTAGTTTATAAATGTGCAAACATTTGCAAAATGTCGTTAATAAATTCCTTATCTATTAAACATCCTTTTTTCTCGCTTATCTACTATTATAAATCAATGTGAATCCACTATCGCATATTAGAATCAAACTCTTACACTTTAACGTGACACCTAATAATACTAATCGAGATAACAATCTGGCTTTTTTATTTTTATTTTTAAACAAATAGCAAGAAAATGAACTCTGTTCTACAGTTTAAATAATTGCCTTTGGCGCCTTCCTGTCGCTAAATTAGATTATGTTAAACTTCAAATTAAAATAAAGATTGGCCGTTTTATTATTGAGGCAATTTAAAAAGTAATTTGAAATTAAATATGGAATAACCGAACGCAGGATTTGAATTAAGCAGCGGGGTGTATGTAGGTTTAGGTGATGTTATGTCATAAAAAAAGTATTTATTCTTTGTTTTATATTTTGAAAATGGAATGTTTGTTCATTTATGGGCATCGATTAGGATTATAAATGTATTTAATAATTAATAATTTATCTGTTCTGAATTAATTTAAATATCTACCTAAATGTGGAACTATATTCTTAGGTAGCTCTATGCGGTATTTTTCTCAATATACTAATTTGTTGACATAAATATTGGTATGAAAATTAATTTAAGTGGACTGTAGAAACTTAAAATAGGGCTTTATTACTGCTGTAAAATACCGGCACAAGTGAACAAGTACAGACAAGATGTAGAAAGGTAAGGACTTACGGAATATTCTTGTTGAAGTCTGCCTGGAGCTGCCCACAAGTGAACGGGTTGTCGATCGTCCCAGGTACACTTTTAGCCACAAATTTGTATGAATACCAAACAGAAGCACTTTAATTATGATTATTTTATTGTGAACGCGCGAAACGGACGCCATCGATGATATTTGTTTTTTTTCGAATGTTGTCATTTTGGGCAGCTCTGATTGGTCGCGTTCATTGACAGATTGAAGGAAAGGGAGGGCGCGGGAAATTTGAGTGTACTTGTTTTTATGTTCTAACAAATATTAACGGTTATTTTTTAAACAATTGATTGAGAGATTTTGAATCGATTTCAAAAAGAAAGAGGTTTTCAATTCAGTTATTTTTTTTATATTTTTTACAACATACCTTCGTTAGTTCTAAACCTATTTAAACAATTCTTTTTTTTATCTGAAAGGGTATTTTAAGGGGTAGTTATTATTAATTCCATAAAAATTATACCAAGATCTGTTTAGCAGTTTAGTTTTTACATCAAAATATTATAATATAACTGGTTTTGTCACAATCGAAGTCGGTTTTTTATGAGATACAATCTTTAATTTATTAATCTTGAAGACATACTAAAAAAAGTAAATGTTAAGGAAATAAATAGTTGTCTTATATTCTATAAGAAATAGATATTACGTAAATACTAAATTTAAACTATCGATAAAAAAGAATTAACAAATGACAATTAGCAAAACCTTGCGTAACATACATACAAAAATAAATAAAAAAATCAATTATATATTTGTTTTTTTTTTCTTTTTAATGTTAATGGAATGGTAGTCTCACCTGCTTTAACGGTATACGCTGGTAGACTTGAGGGGTGATAAGTGAGAATGTAAAGGTAGATCAGTAAGCCCATCGTGATAAATACACATGGAGGGGGGAAAGGGATTGTTAGTAATGGAGACTGAGAATCCCATTGCTAGCAATATACCCAACCAGGTCAACCTCCTCGCGGTTCTTCCTGGAAACTATCATGGTTAATTCCTGATGAATTCATCATGATGGGCTGACTAGCCTGTTTTTATTTTCATCTATCACCCTTCACTGCGTTAGCTTAAGCGGGGTTACCATACCATTTTCACCCATAAAAAAAAATACACATGGAATTCATCATGAAATAGTTAAATATTTTTATTGTTAATTTTTTGTAATTCATGAAATATTTTCATTTAAATTAATTTATTTTTCTTGTATTGTTACAGAAAAACAATGAGAACCTCTTGAGATAAGAAACCTTACAAATGATAGATGAAACTGACCAATATGCGCCAATCATATAAGCTGATATGGCGGCAAAATTCAAATATTCATTTGAAAATGGAACGCCATTTATAGAGCGGCGCGTGCGCGGGGATGATTCGAAATTCGAAAATAGAACGGATATACGCAGGAAATGGCGGATGCCGGATGTTGGGGTGTGGATATTGACTGTGGCCATATTGCTGACCGGTTGTTATGGTAACCAAGAACAGAGATTTGCGATGGAGCCTCAAGATCAGGTATGTCATAATAAAATCAATAATATGCAATAATAACTGTTGTAGGACATCATCCCATCATCATCACCATCATCATCATATCGGCCGTTAATTGTCCACTGCTGAATATAGGTCTCCCCCTATTGGGGGGGATTTCAGTAGTCGCAACGCTTGTCAGGCGGGTTAGTAACCGCAGTTAGGCCTTGGCCAGAGAGAGACTTTGTACAAAAGCCGATTGCTTGGGTACCTCTGTCCCATTCGTGTTTCAACCGTTTGCATGGCAGTGTTTCGGTTTGAAGGGTGGGATATGGCAGTGAATTTACTGGGTACAGAGAAATAACACCTGAGTCCTCAGGAATGGCAACGCATGGGGGGTATCATGGTGGAAACAGTATACTCTGTTATGCCCATGGTACTGCTCATATCTATAGGCGACGGTTACCACTTTCTATCAGGTGGACCGTCAGCTTGTTTGCCATTCTAAGTTGTATAAAAAAAAGTTGGTGATGTTTTAAGAGGGACGCTACTGTCCGCCTTTTAACCACTAAGGTAACCTTAGGTCATACTGTATTGTTAATAATTCCTACCGGCTTTACTCATATATTAACTTCGAGGGTACCTAATTAGTTTGGAGTTCGATAGGAAATCATAATTATGGTTCACCCTGAAATAAACACGAGAGAAAAACTAATATAAAAAATATATCATATCATAAATATGAAAGTAAATATATTTGTTACCTCTTAGCGCTTTAACGACTTAAAGAATCACTATGTTATTTGGCATATAAGTATTACATATATTTTTTTTAAACTACAAAATTAGTAAACGAGCATACAGCCCGTCTGACGGTAAACGACCACTGTAGTTTATAAACGCTTACAAACCCTAGGGATGTCACTTCGCGTTATATAAGATGAAGATAGACATAGGTTACTTTTTATTTCAGTGGTCATATCAGACATATGGACTCTCTGATAAAAATTAGTTCATTAATAACGTAATGAGTAATAAAAAATATTAAATTTTAAATTAACACTTACAGATAAGGACCAACCAGATGGCTAGTGCCATAAACTTTATAGTTTAGATTAGTTTAATTTCAATAAGACTGAGACGTCGTATAGTTCTGGTATAGAATGGGCTCTTTCTTTTTTTTTATACCACAGAGGTGGCAAACAAGCATACGGCCCACCTGATGGTAAGTGGTTACCGTAGCCTATGAACACCTGCAATACGTCGCCCTCCCTTAGTCACCTTTTACGACACCCATGGGAAAAGAAGGGGTGGCTTATTCTATACTGAGACCATATGGCATAATTATTTCAATTGTTTATTTCAATTTAAATTTTTCAATTTATTTTTATTCGCTACAATACTGCATTGTGTTGAATATTTTTACAAGTAACAAGAAGACATCATAAAATATAACAAAACAAAAAAATATGAAGCAACAAAATAACCAATAATAATTGGCAAAAATAACATTACAATCAATTTACAAATGTCATTAGTAAGGCATAAAATTTTAAAAGAGTATTTTAAAATTCATCAATTGAGTAGATGCACCTTTCCAACAAAAGAGAATAAAGTTTAATTTTCAAAATTCTCTTAAAAAAAATATTGGAAATTATTGTGAGAAGTAAGACGTTTCTGTGTATATTTATTAAGTAAATTGTAATTTCTTCAACTCTATCTAAAATATTTTTCGTCTTTCTTCCAAACTTTAGAATAACTTCTCATGGAAACATCTCAATTGTTATCATTACTTATTACTACCCACTAAAACTTACTCAATCTAAGAAAATTAGACTTCTTCCAAAGTTTTAATAGAAAATTTGTAACAACTTGTTTACATAAATAGATATTTCTTTATAATTTATATTTTAAACATATACTGTTTTGAGGTTTTGTTCACTTTTCGTCATCTCATTGCTCGCTATCGACAGGGAATTCATGTTCACACGCTTGAACCTAAATGGTCGGGTACAGTGCGGTTTCAGAAGTCTCCATCCGCTCAGGCTATGGTCATTTCACAGCGTCCCTGCTTAAGTTCTCTTTGCAGGCTACAATTACCGTCTTTTTATAATAAATTTAACAAAACTTGATCACTTAAAGTGTTCAACATTATAAGTAATTACTTTGATAGTAAACATTCCATTTAGACCCCCATAGTGTAGTGGTAGGTGTGTTGGGTTGCGCAAAATTATGTTATGGACTTCGACTATTAAGTGATTCCACAGACATATATATATATATATATATATATATATATATATATATATATATATATATATATATATATATATATATATATATATATATATGTATATGTATATATATATATATATAAAATATCGAAATACTTCAGTAACTAAAATGGATTCGTAGGAGGTCTTAGTCTTTATGAATAAGGAAAATAGACATTCCAAGTAGTTTATATGAAAGATAAATATATATCTATTAAACTACTTGCCTTTCAAAAATGGGTATAAAGACGTCACATTCTTATATGTATTCTGTGATATCTGTGACGTTATGCTTTTGGTGATTGGCGACGTGAACACTGTATATTAAAAATTCGGAAATTTCTTCATTATTTATTATAATAATTTTAGTTTATTCACAATATATGAATTTTAATTTAAATTAAAATAAATTACTAATTATTAATTTATTCATAGAACGAAACCTAAATCCAGTAATAAACCTTAGACCATCTATTTTGGACATTTTGTAAACCCACTAAAGCCTTATTTACATACAACAAACCCTTTTTTATTATACACAGATTATAATCAACATTATTTAGCATTTATTAACAGAATAACAATCCGATATGAATATTTATCATACAAATTAGCGGTGCTATATATACGTATATGTATAATTATATCCACCGTAGTAAAATCGATTTTCATATAAAAAGGTTTACAGTTTCTGCCATTTGTTATTGTATACGAATTGCTATGTGGTGTGAGTGATAAGGGTGAGCGATTTGTAAATATCGATGTAATATTAAATTTTATAATAGTTACACGATAGTATAAATGATAAATGTTAATAATAAACATAAAAACTTTAAAAAGTCTGCTGCTGCTTCCAAATTTAGGACAATCTCGCTTTATTAAAATATTAAATAAAAAGTAACTTAATAATGTATTTATAGTATTTCGAACTCTTAGATAATATTGTTCAATATAGATAATACATTAACAAGGACAATTATTTATTAATAAAATTATTATTAATAAATAAAATTATTTGATAGTAAAAATATAGAAATAACTTTTTTTACTTCGAGGGTACCTAATTAGTTTGGAGTTCGATAGGAAATCATAATTATGGTTCACCCTGAAATAAACACGAGAGAAAAACTAATATAAAAAATATATCATATCATAAATATGAAAGTAAATATATTTGTTACCTCTTAGCGCTTTAACGACTTAAAGAATCACTATGTTATTTGGCATATAAGTATTACATATATTTTTTTTAAACTACAAAATTAGTAAACGAGCATACAGCCCGTCTGACGGTAAACGACCACTGTAGTTTATAAACGCTTACAAACCCTAGGGATGTCACTTCGCGTTATATAAGATGAAGATAGACAGAGGTTACTTTTTATTTCAGTGGTCATATCAGACATATGGACTCTCTGATAAAAATTAGTTCATTAATAACGTAATGAGTAATAAAAAATATTAAATTTTAAATTAACACTTACAGATAAGGACCAACCAGATGGCTAGTGCCATAAACTTTATAGTTTAGATTAGTTTAATTTCAATAAGACTGAGACGTCGTATAGTTCTGGTATAGAATGGGCTCTTTCTTTTTTTTTATACCACAGAGGTGGCAAACAAGCATACGGCCCACCTGATGGTAAGTGGTTACCGTAGCCTATGAACACCTGCAATACCAGAGGCTTTCTTTCCCGTGGTTGTCGTAAGAGGCGATTAAGGGAACCGCAGTTAGGCTTTACATATGTTTTAAGAGGAACGCTGCTGTCCATACGTCGCCCTCCCTTAGTCACCTTTTACGACACCCATGGGAAAAGAAGGGGTGGCTTATTCTATACTGAGACCATATGGCATAATTATTTCAATTGTTTATTTCAATTTAAATTTTTCAATTTATTTTTATTCGCTACAATACTGCATTGTGTTGAATATTTTTACAAGTAACAAGAAGACATCATAAAATATAACGAAACAAAAAAATATGAAGCAACAAAATAACCAATAATAATTGGCAAAAATAACATTACAATCAATTTACAAATGTCATTAGTAAGGCATAAAATTTTAAAAGAGTATTTTAAAATTCATCAATTGAGTAGATGCACCTTTCCAACAAAAGAGAATAAAGTTTAATTTTCAAAATTCTCTTAAAAAAAATATTGGAAATTATTGTGAGAAGTAAGACGTTTCTGTGTATATTTATTAAGTAAATTGTAATTTCTTCAACTCTATCTAAAATATTTTTCGTCTTTCTTCCAAACTTTAGAATAACTTCTCATGGAAACATCTCAATTGTTATCATTACTTATTACTACCCACTAAAACTTACTCAATCTAAGAAAATTAGACTTCTTCCAAAGTTTTAATAGAAAATTTGTAACAACTTGTTTACATAAATAGATATTTCTTTATAATTTATATTTTAAACATATACTGTTTTGAGGTTTTGTTCACTTTTCGTCATCTCATTGCTCGCTATTGACAGGGAATTCATGTTCACGCGCTTGAACCTAAATGGTCGCGTACTGTGCGGTTTCAGAAGTCTCCATCCGCTCAGGCTATGGTCATTTCACAGCGTCCCTGCTTAAGTTCTCTTTGCAGGCTACAATTACCGTCTTTTTATAATAAATTTAACAAAACTTGATTCATCATCTCAGGTATTATCTGTCCACTCTAGAACATAGGCCTCCCCCACAGACTGCCATAAGGAAACGGTTCTGAACCACCAACATCTACTGACTCCCTGCATTTGAGGTGGTCACTCTATCTAAA